GGGCTGCGGGGCCTGCTCCCCGGCCCAGGGCCTTGGGGAACCCCTCCAGGGAAGAGAATGGCGTGGACGAGCCTGAGGAAATGTGGGCAGCCGCACTCTGAATTTCCCTCCCTCCCTCCCTCCCAGAATCTCCATTTGCAGTTTATTTATTTATTTATTTATTTATTTATGTATTTATTTATTTTGGTGTGTTTCTTCATTGCATTACTTTTATTTTTTATTATTATTTATCAGAAATGATCTTTTTAAGTATTTACTGTTGAAAGTATTACAGATGTTCCCTTTGTGTTTGCATTTTTCCCCATTGACCCCCTTCACCCCGGACCCGCCCCTCCCAGGCCTTCACCATTCTATTGTCTGTGCCTAAGGGAGCTATGCAAATATTCATATAAATTCCCTGGTTAATCACTCCCCTCCCACCCCCTCACCCCGCCTTCCCTCTGAAATTTGTCAGTTTGTTCTAAGCTTCTAAGTCTCTGGCTTTATTTTATTCATCAGATTTTTTTTTCCATTAGATTCTACATTCAGTGATGTTTTTAAAAAATTATTTTTATTGTTAAAAGTATTACAGATGTCCCCCATTTCCTCCCCTTGCCCCTTCCATCCTGCTTCCCCCCGCCTTCCCCCAACCCCACTTCACCACACTATTGTCTGTGTCCATGGGCTATGCATATATACATATAAGTTCTTTGGGTAATCTCTTCCCCTCCCTTGAACCTCCTCCCCTCTGAGATCTGTCAGTCTCTTCCATTTGTTCATGTCTCTGGACCTATTCTGTTCATCAGTTTATTTTGTTCATTAGATTCCACATATAAGTGAGATCATGCCATTTAGTTTGTTTATAATTGTCAAGAGTAATGTTATCTTAAACATGTCATCATGAAGCCAAATGAATAGGTAGTAATCTGGAATAGCAAACTTGAAGCTGTTCCAGAAAGCCAAAGGGTGTTTCAGGGTTTGCTCGGTATCATTATTTTATTTTATTTTTTCATCACTAAAAAGGACTTATTCAGGGGGGAAAAAGGATTGCAGTTCAGAACTTGCAGACTTGGTGAGCCACGTGCAAATTCTCATTCTTTTATTAAAATTTTTTATTTATTTAAATATGTGACTGGACAATACCTTGTGTCAATGTTTGGGGTTTTGTTTTGTAGAATGGGATTACCCCTTCAAAGACAGCTAATATTCTTATCATGCGATATCAAAATCCCCATAACTAAAAAATGCTATTTACAGTTTCTATTCACAACTCTCTCCCTCTCCTAAAATAAAAAGCAGGGCATCAGTTTCATATATCCCTACATAAATGCTTGAGAAGAGAAAAACAATGGAGACAATAATGGAAATTTTACAATGCAATCTTTGGATGAGCAAAATAAGTTTGGAGTTACTTCCCAAAGTATTATAAATCTGTTTACATTGCAATGAAATTCTGCTTTGATGAGCTGGTTGGTTATTCGACAAACATGCAACTGTATTGGCTTTGTTTTCTTCATCTGTCAAAAGATTCTGCATTTGTATCTCTAAGAGCTTTTCTAACCCTGAGATTTTTGTAAATGTAATGTATTGTCAACAAATGATTCAGCACTAAGACATGAGTTCAGTGTACATCTTCCTTTCTTGCCTTTCTTTTATCTAGCTTTTACCCAACAACCACAAAAGAAATAATCAAGTGATGCATAAGACTTTGGACCCAATTGGCCTTCTGAAAAAGAATTACTATTATGGCCCTGACCTGTTTGGCTCAGTGGATAGAGCGTCGGCCTGCGGACTGAAGGGTCCCAGGTTCGATTCTGGTCAAGGGCATGTACCTTGGTTGCGGGCACATCCCTGGTGGGGGGTGTGCAGGAGGCAGCTGATCGATGTTCCTCTCTCATTGATGTTTCTAACTCTCTATCCTTCTCCCTTCCTCTCTGTAAAAAACCAATAAAATATATTTTTAAAAAAAGAATTACTATTATGTATTATGTTGGGTTTTTTTTTATATACAAACTATGGCATGTAGCTTACTTGAGGAACAGGTTACCATTCAGAAGCCCAGCTCCAAGAAGCTAGGGATGGGCAATGCAGGGGGCACATAAAGTGGAGATAGCGCTCTCTTTTGGAGGCAAATCAGACTAGATGTTCAACCAGGCTGTGTCACTTACTAGTTGTGTGACCCAGACAAGTTATTTTAAACCCTGACTTTTCTCATTTGTAAAACAAGGGCAATGATGACTACCTTCCTGAATTTTTGTGAGGATAGAGATTAAATAAAAGTGTGTCCTGCACATAATTATACCTCAGTGTGTGGCTGTTGTTATCAGGAGGGAAGTCAGAGTACAGATGGTTGTGCAGAGGCCTTTCCAATTCTCATGATACCTTGACTCATGGATGTAAATCTGGTATTCCTTTCCCTACCCACAAAACGGGACTAGCAGTCAGAAGAGAAAGGAACCGAGCACATCCGCTCAATTTTTCCTCTCACAGTTGTCAATCAGGTAAGTAAGTCATTTCTTGGGGAGGAATAAATGAGAAGCAAGAAGGCATAAATTGCATTGTGGTTTCGAATAGTTTTTGATCATGATTCTTTATGAGAAATGTATGTTACATAATGACTCAGGGGATGAATATATACTTGAACATACTCATAAACACATATACACACATGCACATATAAGTACACAATGAATTTAACATGTATTTAAATTGAATTTAATTGAAAGTAATGTTTTTGAGGCAACATTTTTTCTTCATGAAATGCATGCTGGTCTTTTCTGTTTCTTAAAAAAAAAAAACCATTAAATTCACAGCCCCTAATTGGTCATGAACTGAAGTTTGGAAGTCATCTCTCCAAAAAAATCCACACTTGGAAATATGATGCCGGGCAAATAAGAGTTGGTATTGTTCCCTAAAAACTATGTGTCAGCCATTGTGCTAAATACTTTATGTAGATGATTTCAATTCACTCAGTGACAGTGATATTTATTTCTGTTTTGCAGATGATGACATTTTGTCAGGTACACTGTTTTCTCTTCCAGTTTCCTTCTCTACCGATTTCCATTCTGCTCTGTGTCTCAAATGAGCACATGAAGCTAGGAGGCTGACCTTAGTGAGCTCTGTCTTCGTCCTTGGGGTTCGTTTTGTCTGCAATCAGAAGATCAGAAGGCAGGAAGAGTGTGAGTTCATGGTCTTCATTTCTCCATTTTTCTTTTTGGTGGTTGTCCCTGAAGAATGCAGTTCCTGGTTGTGTGTGTGTGTGTGTGTGTGTGTGTGTGTGTTGTTCAGGTAATTACTACCACTCCTTGCTCCCTCAGGTCTAAGGATAGTACCGACTCCATTGGCTCTCTCTGCCTTGCTAGACACAGAACACTTGACCATCATTTGTTAATTTCCTTCAATCTTAACCACATTTTTGTAAATAGTCCCTTTATTGAAGTCTCAGCTATTCCACTTGGGTATGCCACCTGTTTCCAACATGGATTTTGACTGTTGTAAGAGGCAACTGAAATAATGCAAGTAGGAGACGATGGTAGCTATGCCAGGCCAGCTCAGCCAAGGGTTGGGTGAGCCTGAGGGGGGTGGCGAAGGATGTAGAAAAGACAGACAAAGAGAATAAGCTGGGTCTAGGTGGATCTTCCTGTGCCTGGCTAAGGCCACAGAGAGGGGTCCAAACTGCAAGCTGAGCCTTTATTTTATAGCCAAAGGTAAACAACATAAGGTCACTAATTGTGCTAAGAGGACTGTGCCCTCTAAGATGGGACTTGTTTGTGGCTTTGCCAACAGGTCAGTCTGAGGCTTAATCATCCAGCAGCTCCTTACAGTAGCAGTGGATGTGGAAAGAAATGACTGGAGAACTTCCAAAAGAAGGTCCAAGGCCCCACAGCAGCTTGCATTGCTTCACAGCTGGGCCTCATCTGGGCACCTCCAAATCCCAAACAAAGAAGAGGAACTCTCC